AGAGCAGAGGAACGGAGGGACGCGTTTTGTGCTTCCCCTCCACTCCAGCTACTTTTTAGTGTTCTCCATCAGGCTCCAGAGAAGCGCCTTTTGCGCGCTCCATCCATCGCTGCAGAGGTGTTGGCCTGGGGCATAGCACGCTTGCTGCTCTGCGCTGGTCAGGTAGCATTGGAAACATGACCTGATTTTGTTTTGTTGGTTGGAGAAAGAGGTATTAAAGGGTTTATTATGGGGGGCTCTGGGGGTGTGAGAGTGACTGAGTCAGGCAGGTCTGAGCTGGAGGCCAGGGCTGTGCTTTCAGCTTCTGAATTAGAGAGTTTGAACCCCACCATAGGTGCTCTGCATCTCCCCGTCACCCTTGGGGTGAGCTGGTAGGGGGAAAACAGACTGAAAGACCACAGGTTTGGTGCAGAGCTTTAAGCTCCCTGAGATAATGCAGCACCTAGGGATGAAGGCAGCATGGTGCCATGCCACACTGCTGCTGAGCTCAGGCCTCTCCCCTCATTGCCTTACTGGGAATGGAGCCCTTTGTCAGCAGAGAGCTGGCCAGAAGTCTGCTCCCCACAGAAAAGGAATTCCTGCAGCCCAAAAGCTGTGCATCAATATGCTCTGCCATTGTCCACAGTTCCCAGCCTGCCTCCTGCAATGTGTCCCATGCTCACTGACCCTAGAACCAGCCTCTTGTGCCCCCAGCCATAAGACCAGTGACTGCTTTGTGATCTGGCTTGTAAAGGGCTATCAATAAGGCATAGGCTTACGCTCACACATCTGATCCTACTGTTCTCTGAGCTCTTTCCCTGGGCAGCTGTTGGAGGAGAGAATCCCAGGGCAGGAACAAGGGAAGGTGACATCTCTGAGTGAGACCACAGCAGTGACCAACCCCTCAGCTCCTCCTTTACCCATGTGTCCCCAGCACTGCACCCACAAAGGCAGCATCTTCAGCGGGTCATGGTCCCCATGGCCCCCTGGCATCCGGCATCCAGCTCAGTGCAGAATGTATGGTGCCTGCGTCAGGGTCCCCTTGCCATGCATGGGGGTGAGCCTGGCACCCAGGCTGCCTGCACAGGGGGATGCAGCCACAGCTGAGTGGGAATAGGGCTCTCCCAGGGGCTTCCTTGTGTTGTGCCTTCAGCAACCCCTTCCTGAGTATCCAACACATCCACGGAGCAGGGACCAAGGGGTACTCGAGTCAGGCCTCCCCACCCCATCCAGCTCATCCTTTGCAGCCCCCTTTGGGGCCAGCTCCCCGGGGAGGATGGAGTGTACTGGGAATTGTGGCTCTTCCTCTCCTATGCAGACAGTCACGATGGTTAAGTGGCTTGTTTTTCATTAGGAAAAGGCTGTTGCTAGGCCACCCTGGTCCTCAGCATTGGTCGGGAAGGGGTTTTGCAGCCAATCCGTGCGGCTGTGCCGGCGGTTCCGCACATATACACACATGCATACGCACACATGCACACGCACACCCCTCCTGCAGCCGAAGTGCTAAGCAGCTACCAGATGTGCCTATTCATCTCCACATCACACCTATTCGCTTCTCCTGGCCAAGCAGGTTATTAAGGCTCCTGAGCTTTTAATTGTTAGCTGGCTGTGAGTTTTCTGCCTTCTAATTCAGGCTCGGGTTGTAGAGCAGAGAGTGATGGTGAGTGGGGGTACTGATGGGGTGCAGGAAGGCTGGTTATTCCCTGCACTACAGCCAGTTTGGTCTCTGATGAATCACCTGAGCAAAGCCTCTGCTCTCTGCATGCAAACAAGGGGAATGGTCCCTCTGGATCCCCACAGCGATGGGACGGACTGCCCCAGGATAGGGACTTGCTCTGGGCTGCTATTAGGTACCAGCATCGTTCCACTCCAAGACATTTGGGGTTTATGTGGTGCTTCAACCACATGTATTGTGATAACCAGAACCAGCAGCAAAGCAAGCCGGGTGCTTAATATAAGGATGCTGCTCCAAGCAGTGGTCCATGTGCAAACAGCCCCCAGCAGCTGGGATCAGTGCTGGACCATGCCAGGAGCTGGTGATGCAGGGCAGGGAGGTCAGACACATCTCCTGGTACAGCTGTTGTGCTATGGTGTTATCTCAAGCACTCTATGGGTGTCTGACACCCACCCAGCAGAAGCAGAGCTCTGGGTGCACGGGTAAGGCAGGGTGTGAGCAGAGCCTAGGATGCGAGCAGGATGGGAGCATGCATCCATCCACTTTTCCAGCTACTGATAGGAACAGACACCAAAACATGCGGAAAACCATGGACAATCCACATGAAACCCAGTTTCTGAGTGTCCCACATGAAAACCCCCTTGTAGCAGGAGGGAAGCTCAATAAAAGCAAGGGACAGCATTGAATTGCCATCTGCTGCTCAAGGAGAAGCTGTTGCTAGACAGAAGTAGGAGCTGTCGCCATCGGCTCCCATTGGCTCAGCCCTACTCCAATAATGGGCTTATCAGTTACCTGCTCTTGCAGCTGGCTCAAAAAAACCCCTCAATTGACAATGTTTTCCCTCTGATAAAAAAGCCCATTGCTGGATTCGTGGGTTTGGGTTAATCATTACCGAGGGTTGGGGAGATAACGGACCAGGTTTCGCCTGATTCTCCCATAATCAGGACGTTCAGTGTAAATGGTGAGCCAGCCCCGTGCTTCTTTGCCCGCCTAAGGATGCTCAGCTTCCCAGCATGAGTGATGGAGCAGGGAGGTTGGCTGCTCTCAGCCATAGCCTGTAGGCGAATATTCAGAGCCACCTGTGAGAATCCTGATTAGTTCTTAAAGGGCTCACTGGGTGCAAACAGGGGAATGTGTCTGTTCAGGTTATTCCGAGCAAGCATCATCTCATTGGTGGGAAGCAGACTGACACTACCCCTCATCATCCATCCGTCCATCCATCCATCCATCCATCATCCATCCATCCATCCATCATCCATCCATTCATCCATCATTCATCCATCCATCCATCCATCCATCCATCCATCCATCATCCATCCATCCATCCATCCATCATCCATCATCCATCCATCCATCATCCATCATCCATCCATCCATCCATCCATCCATCCATCCATCCGGGGGTTTGCTCATCAGTAGCCCTGCAGTGGGGGACTGCAGTACACAATGTCAGAGGTTTTCCAGCCCCTCAGATCCGATACAAACAGGGATTGAGTCCCCAGATTTATTTCAGCTGACCCAAGAGCTGGTGACCATGGCACAGAAGCAGAGCTTATAAAGCATGAGAGCACCAAAGAGCAGCTGTCCTTTGGCTGCCTTGAAATTCACCCCTAAACCAGAGAGGATATTGAAGCAGAGGGGTTAAATCAGCGTGGTGTCAATGGGGACAAGCTCTCAGAGGCAGCCTGGGGCTTTTCGAGCATCTCATTCCACTGTGCGAGCCCAGGAGCTCCATCAAGGGAGAAAGCTGCCCTGGCTCACAGGGGATGAGTGCTTGGAGCCCAGCGCAGGTTTCCTTTAGGAAGTGGGTCTCCTGGAGTGTTTGGATGGTCAGGACTTCAGAAATGAGGTGGGGTTTGTCCTCAATCACACCTTCCCTCTTGACTGGCTGAGTCATGGCCTGATAAAGCCTTCTGCAGCTTTCTCCAGCCTCACCCCAACACCCATGGCACATCAACAGCTTAGGGCAAGTCAGTGCTATGTGGTGGCAATACAGGGTGGGCTGGGGGGACATCAAGGGGGACTCAGATGGAGCTGTGGGGTGCCCTGTGCAAGCTCCCTATATACTTACATACCCCCAAGGGGATGCAGTGGTATGGGCCAGGTTGTATGACCATAAGCAAAGCATCCTTCTGCTGCACTCTTCCTCTGGGTCTGCTTTCCCAGGAGCAGAAGACAGTGCTTTGGGATGCCACCATGTTCTGATGGCGGGTCTGCTGAGCTTTCACCTTTCCTACAGCTCTGCTTCCCTCCTGCCACCCAGGGAGAGGTGCAAACAGAAGAGATGAGGAAAGAGAGAGAAACCTGGGCCAGCTCTGCTCCTCCTGCACCCCCTGGGCTCACGTCCCTCCCATACCCCACCAGGTCCTGCATGGCATCGTGCTGGGGCTTGCACAGGGGGTGGTGCTGTGCTTTGCAGCTTGCTGGATCAGGAATGTGTCTGGGACAAACTGGCACAAGCAGGAGTCAAAGACCTTCCACGGGACCGTGTTTCCTACCAGGTCTGGTGCAGAGTGCCTGGACCACGAGCTCACAGAGCAGCCGAGGTTACTGCTATTTCTGTTGCAGGATGGTTGTGCTTGGAGGACAGAGCTTTTTAGACACATCCAACATCATTCGAAGCACTTCTGAGCCGTCACCAGCTTCCCCAGCCAGGCAGGGAGGAGTTAAGATGGGAAGTGCAAGATGTGTCTTACAATGGCACTGATGTGTGCGTCAGGTGTGCCTGCGTCACCCGGCTCCTTGGCCGCCTCCCAAGGCTGGGGCTGAGCTCTCCTTCCCTCCCTATGGATGCTGGGAAAAGCTTGGGACGGGTCTATCCTGGCCATGGGGACATAGGCTCCATTTCAATGCTGACTGCTGGACCATGGCTGCCCCCCCATGTCCAACCCCAAACCCCTCTTTAGTGCTCCCACAGATACATCTGTGTACCTACATGTGTCACCCACAGAGCATCACCCTGTCCCCACACTGTTACAGCAGCTCACACTGCAGCTCAGCATCATTCCCACCCACTCCTAACCCCTGTGTGCAGGGATACTGATGAGCAGGTTGGGGAAATCCCAGTACTGCTTCCCCCTTCAGACTGGGAGCTCCCTGAGCTGGGACAGCCCAGCTGCTGCAGGGTGACACAGCAGGATGCTTCCTCTTGCACTGGGCTTTCTGTAAGCTGAGCCTATTCCCTGCTCCCCCAACCTTTGTAGGGATGCCCCCACAGCAGAGGGGACCAGCCCATACAACCAGAGAGCTGCCACCATGGTACACAGGCAGAGGTTTCCCAACCTCATCCCTGCCCTCTCCCTCCTGGAGAGCTGCTGGATCAGATCACGCACCACATACATAAAGGTTTAGCAAGACCAGTTTTTTATTCAGAACTGGACAATTACATGAACAGTCCATTTAAATGAAGTGCATCCTATCCTCTTGTCCAGGCTGGATCAGACCCAGACTTTTCAGGCTTCACTGTGCAAAAAGGTGAGGAGGAAACTGGCTCCGAGTGGTTTGCAGCCTTTGGGCATCAGCAAGGCACCTCAGTCCTCCCACAGGAAGACTTGCCCACCATGGAGTATCCCCTTCCCAGAGGGCATAGCAGGTGCCCTGGCAGCCACAGCCACCACTGCAGCCACTGCATGCCCATGGGGGCTCCTCCAGGCTCACACCAGGACCCTGCTAATCCCAGAGCACCAAGTGCCAGATGAACACAGCACAGCCACAGTAAGAGGCCTCAGTGCTCTTGAGAGTTGCTGGTGTCCAAGTGTCACTGTTTCTCTGTCCCAGGGCAGGGCTGGGGGTGTCTGACCCCCCCTGTGTAGAGATGGGTACCAGGCAGAGCCCATGGGGCACAAGCCCCAGGGAAGGAGATCAGCAGCCACCTCTACCGTCAATAGGCACCAGCATGGCCTGAACGACGTGGAGGAGGTGCTGTCCCTCATAAGCTGCTTTCCATCAGGTCTGTGGGCCAGTACTGGTCATCCATGTACTGGCTGCTGTCTGCGGTGGGGTCTGTGATGGGGCTGGGGGGCCGGGGGGGCAGGCTACGGGCCAGCTCCGTCTCCCATTGCACCTCCACCAGTCTGTACAGCTCCATGGCTGTCTGAGCATCCTCCACTGACGAGTGCCCTCTGCAGTCAACCTGAGCAAAGGGGGGGAAAAACTCATTAGATAAAGGAGATGGCAAAAATCCCACTTAATGTTGTCTGCTTGCTTGGAAGGATACAGGTGCTGGGGGTTTGGAGATAGAAAAGGTTTGATGCAGCAATGGAGATGCAGGAATCTCTTAAGCACTTTTTGCAGGGCACAGGTCCTCTCTCTGCTTTTCTGGTCACTTTGGGAGGTCCTGCACTCCCCCAGCCTGACCCAGCCAGGAGCACAGCATGAACAAGGTTCATCTCCATCTCCCAGAGAGCACCCATGGAGATGGGGGCCCAGGCTGACCACACAGGATGCTTCCATCTCCAGGTTCCTGGTCCTTACCTGGATCTTTTTGTGGAGCAGGTGCCTGGCCAAGGTCTTGAGTGAGACATTGGCCCTGCCGGGGAACCCTGCCCTCTCGTTCAGCACTGGGATCCGGCTGGTGTCCCGGGTCCTGTCTTTGGGGTGGAAGTACTTCAGGGCTTGGAAGTCATTGTGGATGGCGTGTCCTACCACAACCTTGTCTTTCAAGATCTTCAGGATCTGGAAGCGTCAGAAAGGGTTAGACAGACAGTGCAGCTGGAGAAACACCCCCAACAATTAAGCACGAAATTAACCATTTTCTATTCAATTCCTTCACTTCTAGTTTTTAGGTTCCCAGAACGGATCAGTAACAAGCACACCAACCCACCACAGAGGCTCGTGCCTCGGAGCAGCTCGGCTCACGCCACCAACAGGGTGTATCTGGCAGGTAACACAAAGACTTTTCTCTTCCTCCTCACCTCTGCCTGAGCAGCCTTGAAGGGAATCGCTCTCTTCATGTGCTGCTTGGTGATGCCGCTCCAGCGCGTCCGGTAATCCACGACGGGGAGCTCGGGCTGGACGTACTTGTCATAGATCACATCCCCCTGGTAGTTCACCACAGAGCACCGCGCCAGCTCGCTCAGCCTGCCCTGAGGACCGGTACCCACCATCTCACAGTCGATGGCCACGTACTTGCTCGGCCGCAGGAGCGGGGAGGACGTCCGCACCCTCTTGGAGCTGCCATTCCCCTGGGACAGCAGCACGGAGTGGTGCCTGGCTATGCTGTCCGGAGAGGCGGATGGGGACAGGGATGTGGAGACAGCCTCTTCTGGCTTGGGGACCTTCCCACAGTGCGCTGCTGTGGTGCCATCCACCTTGGTGAGCGTGCTGCATACCTCCAGCCCTGACATCGGGGTCTGGCTGCCCGGGCGCTTGGGGGGGCTCAGCAGCCCCTTCTGCTCCAGCAGTGTCCGGCGCTCCATGAACCGCTGGTGCTTACGGCTCTTCTTCTTACTGCGACCCTCGGGGGGCTGAGTGTGGCCCCCTGCTGCGGGGCCATGGGTGCTGCGTGAGGGGGGTGCCGTGGCCTTTGGGGTGGGCAGCAGCGGGATCATCTGCCCTTTGCCAGGAGGCATCCCTGCTGGATGTGCACATGGGGGTTTGAGTGACATTGCAGCTCCCATACCCCTGTCAAATAAGACCCACACACCATCACCCCCCCTGCGGTGTGGGCTGGCATACGGTGTCCAAGCAGGAGCTATGGAGCGGGGAGAACACGGACACGTTGTCACATCCTGTCCCCACGCCATTGCCTCTCACTGCCTGGGCCCTGCCTCCCTCACTCCGGATCCCAGGGCCATGCACACCCCCTCCCCGGTCCGCAGCCCCCTCCCCACTCGACTACACACCCCTTAAGGCCCTGTCTGCCCATTACCCGGGCCTTCTCTGCCTCACTCCCGGCCCCAGCCCTCTGCCCGCCCCATTACCGACCCCGGCCGCTGTCCACCCCATTAGCTCTCCCCATTGCTCGCCCCACTGCTCCTCCCAAGCCCCATTTCCAACCCCGTTCCCCCTCCGGACCCACCGGGCCCGGCGCCGTTCCCACGTGTCCCGTCCGGAAGCGGCCGTGCTCACATGCCCGGGCAAGTCCCAGCGTGGCCACGCCCTTCACTTCTCCTATTGGCTGAGCGGCGGGCGATTTGCATACAGGGGGCGTGGCCCGCTGCTGCAGGAGGGTATGGCGGGGCCACTTAAGGCGCCTGGGTTGCAGTGCGGGGAGGGTTGGTCGCACATCTGTTGGTGCACATCTGGTGGTGCACATCTGTTGGTGCACATCTGGTTCTCGCATCCCGGACATGAGCGCTGCTCAGGGTTTCCACCTGTGGCCTGGAGGGAAGGGCTCTTCTGGGGGTGGGTTTCGGGTGGGGTGGGTGCTCACCAGGGTACCCAGCACCGATACACTGTGGTGTCGCTGTGTGCTTGCTGCGGTATACTGCTGACCCAGTTAAGTCGTGCTCAGGCAGCCAAAAGGTCCCGTGGCATCCTGGGTTGTATCAGAAATACTGTGGCCAGAAGGATCAGGGCAGTGATTACCCTGTGCTCCGCACTGGTGAGGGTGCAGCTTGAATCCTGTGTTTGGTTTTGAGCTCACCACTATCAGAGAGACATTGAGGTGCTGGAGCAGGTCCAGAGAAGGGCAATGGAGCTGGTGAAGGGCCTAGAGTACAAGTCTGATGAGGAATGGTGGAGGGAACTGGGGAGGATTTAGTGTGGAGAAGAGAAGGCTCATGGGGGGACCTTATTGCTTGCTACAGCTACTGACAGGAGGTTGTAGTGAGGTGGCATTGGTCTCTTCTCCACAGTAATAAGCGATAGGACAAGAGGAAACCGCCTCAAGCTGCGCCAGGGAAGGTTTAGGCTGGATGTTAGGGAAAATTTCTCCACCAAAAGGGTGCTCAGGCATTGGAACAGGCTGCCCAGGGCAGTGCTGGAGTCACTGTCCCTGCAAGGGTTCAAACCTCATGAGATGAGGCCCTCAGTGGCAGGGGTTAATGGTGGACTTGGCAGTAATGGTTGGGCTTGATGATCTTGAAGCTGTTTTCCAACCTGGTTGTTTCTATGATTCTTTGACCCTGTGGACATCCCTTCTCCTGCTGGCAACACTTGGGCTGCTGGCTGGGGTAGCACCACTCCTTGGGGTGTGCTGAGGCTTTGCATCATGGCTCTCCCATGGTGCTCTGTGGGGGCAGCTCCGGCTGGGACATGGGTGCAGATGGGGTTTCAGACCAGCCCCTCGTTGCTTCACTCTCAAGACTCACAAAAGCAACAGCCGAGGTGGTCAGAAGTGCAGGGCCACGGCAGCCCCAGCCACCAGCTTGTCCCCGTGCCTCCAGCATGGCGGAGAGGCCGTGCGCCCTAGGGCAGACTGTGACTTGTTGTGGTGGGATGAGCCATACAACAACAAAATCACTAGTCTTCCAGAGGGAGCCAGGCACCACGTCGTCCCACAGCGCCCTGTGCTGAGCATCCCCTCTCCCTGCCACCGAAGGGGGCGTGCAGGGAAGCAGGACAAGTGTTTTCGTGCTCCATCATTCTGCCTTTTCACCACCCATCAGCTGCTTCAGCCTAGGCAGAAAGGAATGGCTTAGATCACCTTGTGATTTATATTTTCCTATTTCTTTAATGTTTTTCTTCTGGCTGGTAAGCCTCTTCCTTAAATCTGTTGCTCTGTGTTTCGCATCTATTGCTTCCATTCCTGCTGTTCAGCTAATTAATCCCCCCGTAATGAGAGTCGTTCAAGTGTCCCACAACACCTTGCTAGGGAGCCCTGGCAGGTCTCTGTATAGGAATCTATACCCTTTTCTGGAGTTTTTGATGAAACGGGGCATTCCAGCTCTTGGGGATAGAATGATGTGAACCTCATCAGAGGTTGCTGGGCCTCTTTGCCCCATTTTTCACCCCCTGTCAAGGTGTGAGTGACTGTCACCACACGAGTGGGAGCAAACTCAGGCTCTGGTGTGAGGGAGATGGGCTTGCATTGCTGGTGGCATCTCTCTGCCAGCTCTGAGGAGGTGGCATTGCTGGCTGCTCTTCTCCCTCACACCCTGCAGTGGGACACGAGATTCAAGTGCCTGGGCCATTTGGTGCTTCTTGGTTGGTAGCTTCTCCCCAGGCACACTGTTGTTGCACTCATGGGTCTGGTCACTCTTGGTTTGTCCACAACTGACCCATCTATCTCCCCTCAGGTTTGCTTGTAACTCCTTCCTTCCCAGGCTGCATGTTTAGCAAGAAACAGAAGATTCTCTTTGGCAGGACAAAGTTTTAGCTGTGCCCTTATGGTTCCTTGACAGGAGAAATTACGGGCACATAGAGAGGAAAGGAGAAGCCTTTACCCATTTCCCAAGGCCATGGTAGCCCAAGGAAACAGCGGTGTCATTTTTCTTCCTTACCCCAGACGCAAGGATGGAGGTGGAAAAAAGTCATAATAGCTTTGAATGGGTCCATCAGTGTGCCATGGCCTCCTCTGATCCCACCCTCTGCATCGTCAATAGACGGTTCTCACATGGTAGATGGCTCTCCCTTTGGCAGAAGCCTGGTGCTGGAGAGTGATGCCACTCATCTCCAAAGGGTCCTGTGTCCTCCCTGGGGATGGAGGTTTTGTCACCAGATGGTTGAAATCCTGTTTTGGATGTGGCAGATGAGCCGAGAGCTGAGACGATGCCAGAGCCGGGGAGAGGTTTCTGTGGTGTTTGCACAATTTGAAATAATGATGAAATCTGTAAAACTCTGGGCAGAGCACGATACAATAACAGGCTAAATTTGTCAGATGAATAATTTACTAGAAGCAATTGGCCTTGCTCCAAGCGAGACAAGCACCAGGCTGATCTCAGGCTGAGCAGCCCGGCTGGATCTGTCCTGGGAGCTGGTCCCTCTCCAGCCACCTCGTCATTGATCCTGCAATAGGAACAGGTCTCCAGCCAAAGTGCCTGTCCCCAGGTCATCGCTGCCAGGGTTACAGAGCATCCTGCATTGCTCCCCTCAAGAAGGTGGTTTGCTTTCAAGGCACTGCTTTGCAGAGCAGAGTGGTGGCAGTGGGTGTCTGTCGCCAGCTCCAGGCTCATGGACTCACCCGTCCTCTGCCTCTTCCCCTTCTCTAACCACTTCCCTGTCCTTAACCAAGCGGGTGTAGGAGCAGACACATGGTGACATTTGGGATGGGGAGGGAGATGCAGCCCCAGCGCAGGGAGGAGATGGAGGCTGCAGCCACGACAGCCAATTAAAGTGATCATGCTTATGAATGAGGATCAGTGATTCCAGGAGAGCCCCCTGCGAGCAATGCTGCGGGTGAGCCGAGGCTCCTGCACACCCTGGAGCCCAGCAGTGCTCCCCAACAGTGCCAGCACGTTCCTGCTGTGACTCTAAACCACTTCATTTCCCAGTCCCAGCCTGGACATGGCTCATTTTGTCTCCTATCACTGCTGGTCTTTGCAGGGCTGGTTGCACCCCTTGGACCTCTCTGCTCCTGCCCTGCCATGGTGTGAATGAGGACCCCAAGGATAAATTTACCCAGAGAAGGCAGCAAGGCCCCAGCTTTGCCTCAATAGGTAATGAGGGACCACTCCACCATCCTGGGCTCTGCAGGCTGCATGGTGCCTCCCCACCGCCCACCCCACCAGAGCTCCCCTGAGCTGTTCCCATCACTCTGAATAGGCTTGTGGCGGTGCTGGTTTATGTCCACCAGCATCTAGAAGATCAGATAGGAGCTACAGAAGTAGGTCAGGGCTGTGACCAGTCCTTTGCTTGACCTGGTTTCCTTTAGAGAAATAAAGACTTATCATGAAGGGAGCACCTGGGAACACCATGATCATCCTTTGGTGCAAGGGACCAGGCAGCTGGTGCTGCCTGGCTGCTGTTGTCACCAGCATGAGGACATCAGAACAGACAGGCACCATGTCGCTTCCTGGCCTTTGCCATGATGCAGCTCAGAGCTCTGCGGCCCTCTTGATCCATAGCAGAGGTCCAGCACAGGGGTCCCTGCAGGACCTTCTCCTTTGCCATGCCTCAGTCCCCCCTGAAGATGGCAAAGTACTCCTTCCTTCAACACTCAGCCAGTCTTTGGCTCCTCTGCTGAGGGGAGCTGGGCTGGGACTGGGCATGTGTTTCAGCTCAACCACTTTAAACCTGAAGGGCTGCAAGGCAAGATGTCAACATTAACCACAGACACCAAGGGGTTCTGCAGCTCCCATTAGCAAGGACCTTTGGAAAGAAGTGAGGAGTGTCCGTAGGGTGTCAGTCAATGAGTGCTTTCCTCATTCCTGCTTTACACCCTTCATGCTTCAGCTGTAGCTGGTCTTGGGAGTTCCTCATCCTGAGCCCACTTGCACAAAACCTGCTGGGAGAACACCCCCATCCTGGCTAAGGACAGGGATGGACTCAGTGTAACAGCACCCACCCAGCTTTGAAGCCTTCTCAGTGCTGGAAACTCCTGTTTGGAAGGCAAAAAACCTTTTCCTTTCCCTTCTGACACCTCCTCCACCACTCTGTGGGAACTGCCTGCATCCCTCCTCCTCAACCGTAGCCTGGTGGGTGCTGATGCTCCGGGGATGCTGCTGGGGATAAGGATGCTCCCAAAGCAGGAGA